TTACCTGCTGCTGCTGCTGCCTGCCCCTGCTTCTTTTCAGGCTTCCCACGAACATCTGATTCGCGGGAAGCAGAGGAGGGGGAGGAGCAGGGGGCGGAGCGTTCAGGGGAGGAGAGGAGGGGGAAGTGAGCCGGGGGCGGGGTGGACAGCTGCGGGGCCCTCTTAGGCGCGGGGCCCAATTCAGCCGAATCGGCCTAAAGCCAGCCCTGCCGGCAGCCGCTGCCTGCTGCCGGAGTCTACAAGCCCCGCCCCGCTGCAGGACGCAGCGGAGCGAGACCTCCTCGCTGCCTCTCTGTGTGCCCGGGGCAGGGCTGCGCTGTGCAGGCTCCTGCCAGCCAGGCGGGAGGCCCCATGGGCTGGTGCCGCTGTGCCGGGAGCTCAGCTGCACGCTGGCCCAGGGAGGAAAGGTGAGTGGTGCCGGCGGTGCCGGCTTGCCGCAGTCACCCTCATATAAGGTGACCAGACATCCCGACCAATGTAAGGTCGGGACGCGGGACAAGTTCCTTAAAATCGGGACTGTCCCGATAATATCGGGACGTCTGGTCACCCTAAGTGCTATAGAGGGCAGACAATTTATGAGTTTACCCTGTATAAGCTTTATACAGAGTAAAATGGATTTATTTGGAGTTTGGATCCCATTGGGAACTGGGTGTTGGAGATAAGTGACCTGATGAGCAGTTTTTGGTTAAAGTCTGCAGCTTTGGGGGCGTGGACCAGACCTGGGTCTGTGTTGCAGCAGGCTAGCGTGTCTGGCTCAACAAGGCAGGGTTCTGGAGTCCCAAGCTGGCAGGGAAAATAGGCTCAGAGATAATTCCAACACGTCAGGTGACAGTCCCAAGGGGGTCACAATGCTATTTTGTTTACAAGATACACTAATCAATTAAAGTTAACTTTACTGTTGTACAGTTCAGTTACACCTGTACCATGAAACAAGATTTGGCACTTATGTAAAGCTGTCCATCCTAAAGTATTGAATAGCTTGAACCTCAGAATATCAAAGGCAGTAATGTATATTATCTTAATTTTATAGATGGGGGAACTGAGGGACTTGGTCACCATTTGTGTCAAAGGCAGGATTAGAACATGAGAATTCCTGGCTCTTACAGACATGCTTAGTTTACTGACTCCTGCTGCTTCTCTAGAAATGAGTGAAAAAGGTTACCTGTAACTTCCGGCACAGCAAATTCTACTGTGAACTGAAAACAATGCTGTTCCTACTGATCCACACATGACAGGTTTGATGGTTCTCTCAATCAGCCCCAAAGGGGGGGCGGGTGTGGTTGCTGAAGCAGGAAGTGGAACACACTGTGCCCTTCTCTCTGGGCTGAGGGGAATGTGGACAGTTACGTTCTGCAAATGTAGCAAGAAAAAGGGAGCCAAACTGAGGTTTTTCAGAACAGGTTAGACAAACACCTGTCAGGAGGGACTATGCATAAGTAGACCAGACTCTTAAGCGGCACCTCTCAAAGGTTTGCCAAGAGGCTTCCCTTAAGTGGCCTGATGCTTTGCCCCTTGTTTTGCTCCGCATTCGCGCTTTCCCTAAGGGCAGGTTAGGGCTCAGTCCCTTCGAGATTATGTTTGGAAGGGCATGGCCTATGAATGGTACACCGGTTCTGGCAGGGGAGTGGGAAATGGGGTGTGGCTTCTTATCTCAGTACATGTGCTCTCTGTCTGCTGTTCTTTGTTCTCTCCACAGGTATACCAAAGATTTGCAGCCTCTCCCGCTGGATGCCCCGATCCACTCCTTGCAGCCAGGCGATTTCGTACTCGTTCGGACTTGGAAGGACGAGCCTCTCCAAGAGAAGTGGAAGGGACCTCACACCGTCCTGCTGGTCTCCCATACAGCAGCAAAGGTTGAGGGACACAAGAACTGGATTCATCACTCTCACCTGAAAGCAGTGCCTGCTCCTGAACGGTGGACCGTCCAGCCTGCAGAGAAGACTGCTAGCGATGATCTGGGACTTAAGCTGTTATTCAGGCGACAATAGTGTCTGCTGGGAATGCCCTGTGATCTCTTTGGACAGTCACAGCGCACTCCCCGCGAGACCTCTGAGCGTTGGTTGTGTTTATTTTCACAGGGCCGGCCTAACCTGGTGGCCTGGTCCCTGTTGTTTTTAATCTGCTTGCTATTGGTAATTGTTATTTTGTGGGTATTTGGGGAATTGTGATTGTTAGGCCCTAGGGTCACCTGCCCAATATGAGTTTAGGTCTAGGGTCTGCCACAGTGGTGCTCTTTGCCATAGAGACACTCCTCTTGTTAACTCCCGTTTCCCCCAAGGCACATGCAGGATGGAAAGGAATCCCTACTAACTTAGAGACAAATACATATGAGTCCCTGAAGGTTTGCTTTGCCCAAGAGTTTAACCTCTCTAACTGCTGGGTATGCTCCCAAATCCCGCGCCATGCTGCAGGGTTACCCTGGAGGGTAGTTCCCCAGAATTGGTCAGATATCTGTTGGGGATGGTTCAGTAGGGGGAAAAATGCCTCGGGTACCCCCTTGTCACAGAACTGTACCATTGAGTCCCAGTATGCGTTAAGGGACGACCCCTGGAAGCCGCAGGCCAACTCAACGTATATCCCTTCCCCTATTAGGTTGCGGCCAGTGGCCCCTGGTTTGGTGTGCTATCGACAGTTTAAGTCCAGCAATCACACCTGGTTTGCTGGGAATAGCACCTGTCAGTATTATTTATCCCCTGACAGTGACGCTTCCATCCCTGTCTATGTTAAAGGCAAATCCGACTCTACCGCCCGGCTCGGATCGTTGAATGACAGACAAGCAAATAGGTGGTATAGTGGTTATAATGGCTTGGTAGGGAATGGCCACTCCTTTTATATTTGCGGTACCTCTGCCTATAAGTGGCTACCGCATCGGTGGTATGGAAGCTGCTACCTAGGATATCTTGCCCCTCCCCTTCGTGTCTTCCCTAAACTGCCCCCTGGCCGCCCTAGGCAGCATAGATCTTCGTATGCCACCCCAGAGCCCATTACAGAAGGAGACAGATTGGGTATGATCTTTCTCCCATCCTATGGGGTGGGACGACTGGCTCAATTTTATCGTAGGCTCTCTGTGTTTCTCACCAAGTATGCCAATGAGACCTTGGCCATAGAGAAAAGCCTTAACTCAGAGCTTTACCAGCTCCAGTTGCTGTCCCTGCAAAACAGACTTTAGATTATGTTTTAGCCTCCCAGGGCGGAGTGTGTGTCCTTATTGGGAGTGAATGTTGTACTTATGGCCCAGAAAACTCACAGGACATTAACAAGCACGTCCTGTCAGCCGAACAGGCTTTTGAGCAGTGGAAGGCTCAGGAAAGGGAACCCACAGTTTTTGATTCCCTTTGGGGCTGGTTGCCCAACCTAGGAGGACTGGGAAATAGCCTTGTGCGTCTCCTCCTCACAGGTGTGGTACTGTGCCTGGTCACCCTCCTCCTGATTGCTTGTTTTAAATTGCTCCTCCGTAAGCTTTGTGCCCCCCGTTCCCCAGAAATCCCAGCGTACCCTCTCATTGAGAACCCTAGCTCTATGGCACTCAATCATATCTTCTCTACAGAATATGAGAAAACTCAGCCAAAAGTTTGTTGAGTATTCTCAAAGGAGGGAATTGTTGACGTTATTAGGCCTATATATATATATATATATGAACCAAAGTTCTTCCATGTTTAAACTCTGTCCTTCCATGTTTAACTCTAATCGACCTCAAAAGCCAAGGACAGGAATTGGAATGTGTAAATAGCCAGTTACCAATTATGACCTTGCTCATAACCAGGTCCTAAGCAATAATGATGAGGTTTGCATGTTTCTAGCTGGAGGAGGGGTAGTAAACTAAGGGTAAACAGAACCAAATGACTGTTTAGAGGAATGTTACGAACAAGCTGAATGATTTAACGGCTTAAATGTATAAACATGCCTTCGGTAGAGGGGGGGCGGGTGGAGGCGGAGGGAAGGGGGGGGCTTAGTTGTAAAGTATAAGAAGAGAGAAAATGTTTTGTTCTGATGTGCTCGATTTGAGACTTGCCTGTCTCCTTGCACCACTTTGAGATCTCAAATAAACTTTGATTGTTTCTCCACCCCGGTATGTTTATTGGCGCGAAGCACGCCGGGCAACGAACCCCCTGTTGCTGTCCTCGGGCCTCTGTGCCTGCAACACTCCCACACCCCAACCTTTATGATGTTCACCTTAAAAAAAAAAAATTCCCTGGGTGCACACCCTAATGAAATGTGCTGTGCACGCCTATGACTGGGACCACCCTGGACTAAGAGCATCAGCTGCTTTATCTAAGGAGCCGGTGGCCGTGGGGAGCTGTCTCGTGTCTGAGCCCCGCAGCGCTCCCAAGGCCGACGGAGTCCTACGCGCAGCGCAGGGCTGCCGCTGGGGCCTTGAAGCCGGGACAAGGCTGGAGCTGTAACAACGCTGTCAGGGGCGGGGGCGCCACCCAGGGTTACAGGGCAATGGCCGCTCGGCTGAGCTGTGACTAGCGTAGGCCTGACGCGGGCCACGCCCGGCAGCGAGCGTCCTGCCTGTCTCCGCTGGCAGGGGGCGCCGTGCCGCACAGCCCAGAGCCCGCCGGGGCCCTCGTAGCGCCCAACGCCCCGCCCACTCCCCTCCCCGCGCGGCGCCGACTCACCCGCCCCTCTGCCAGCTCCACGCCGACTTCTCCGCGCCCAGCCGGGCCGCCCTGCTCTCGCGATGTGGCCGGCGCTCTCGCGCGATCGCTTCGACAAGATGGCGGCGCGGCCGGGCCGCTGAGCGGAGCGGCCGGTGGTAGGCTGGCTGTCGGCTCCCCTGAGCCTGCTGGGTCCGGGCTGTTTCCGGGGGGGATGCTGACGGGACGGGACTCTCCGCCGCGGCTCTGAGTGCCTCGTCCCCCCGCAGCGGCTCCGGCTCCCCCCGGCTGCGGCGAGTCTCCCCGGCGGGGCCCCCCGGTCCGCGGGGCCGCCGCTGGCGATGACCGGAGAGAAGCTGCGCTCGCTGCGCAGGGACCACAAGCCCAGCAAGGAGGACGGGGACCTGCTGGAGCCTGGCGAAGAGGAGGCGGCGCCCGCGCCCGGAGGCGTCTTCACGGGGGGTCGTGGGGGCAGCGGCAAGGGCGGCCGCGCCGGGGGCCACCGCATCTTCAGCAACCACCACCACCGGCTACAGCTGAAAGGGGCCCCGGCGGCCCCGGCCCCCGCCACCCCGGGGGCAGTCAGCCCCGCCGCGGAGGCCGACAAGTGCCCGGGGCACTTCCCGGTGCACGAGTGTGTCTTCAAGGGGGACGTGAGGCGGCTCTCGGCACTGATCCGCACGCAGGGCATTGGCCAGAAGGACAGTCACGGTGAGTGTTGCCCCGACCCGCGCCTACGGACAGCAGCCAGAGCCCCGCAGAGATCCTCCTCATCCCCGCTCCCAGGAGAGAGCTGCCCCATCCCGTTCAGAGAGCGCCCACCGCCGCCGTCCCTGTGCTCCGCCCTCGAGCTGCCAGAAGGACAGGCGGGATGACAGTTTTCTTTGGGAATTCCCCCATATTCCAATGGGTGCATCCTCCCTAACCCAGCCATCCCTGTCATCTACACAGCCAGGGCATCTCCCAGAAAGATGGCCATGAGCAGTGTGCCATAGGTTGCTTCCCAAGTTACTTTCTGGAACCCCCTCATCCAGACCCAAGACATTTGGCCAGAAGGACAGCCACGTCTCCCATTTCTTGGGATTGCACCTCAGAAAAGCAATCGTAGTGGGTTCTTCTTTGAAGCACCCCCAAACGGAGGTCCACACCTGGACATAGTGCAGATGGATTAGTGGGGAGATATTCCTACCCCACGCTGCTTGTAGAGAGACTCCCCCATTCCTTCCTATTTACTTGTGCGATTCATTATCTTGGCTTCCATTTCCTTCCCTTGTGGAAAAACCTTTCCATATGTGAAACTACAGGATCAGTCAGAAAGATGATGACAGTGAGTTTCTTAATTCCCCCCCCCCCCCGCATATACTCTAGGGGGCGATTCTTTATTCAGAGACCCTGTGACATTACATAGGGTACAATCTGGACTGATAAACAGCTGTCCCCTCTCAGTTCTCTAACCTGGGGTGCCTTTTACACTGCTTTGCTGGTCTGGTCCTGGTCTGGTCACACTAAGGCCTGGTCTACACTACGACTTTAATTCGGATTTAGCTGCGTTAATCCGAATTAACCCTTCACCCGTCCACACTACAGAGCCAGTTAATTCGAATTAAAGGGCACTTAAAATCGATTTCTGTACTCCACCTCGACGAGCGGAGTAGCGCCAAAATCGATTTGTTAATTCGAATTAGGGTTAGTGTGGCCGCACACCACCGAATTAATGTGGTTAAATTAATGGGGTAGTGTGGCCGCACACCACCGAATTAATGTGGTTAAAAACCGAATTAATGTGCTTAGTGTGGCCGCGCACAATCGAATTTATACAACCTGTTTCCCAAATTCGAATTATCTAAATTCGGATTAATCCCGTAGTGTAGACATACCCTAAGGCTTTGTCTATGCTGCGCACCTTTTAGTGACAAGGCTGTGCCACTACAGCTGTGCAGCTAAAAGGCATGTAGTGTAGCCACTGTTTGTCAGCAGGAGAGCTGTCCCGCCGACAACAAACTTCCACCCCCTACAAGCGACAGTAGCGTTGTCGGCAGGCCCTGTTCACGCCACTGTTCACAGCTTTTCATCAGCAAAACTTTTGTTGTTGGGGGAGGGGGGCGGCGGGGGGGAAGGATTTTTATTTCACACCCCTGAACAATAAAAGTCTTTGTTCAGTTTCCAGTGTCGACAAAGCCATCGCCTCCCTCGTGTAAATTATACTGCAAGACTGCTACAGTCAGTAACCCTTGAATCACACTGTAGAGCAACACCAGCAAATTCCCAGCCCCAGACTTTCCCCTAGAAATGTACCTCTTGTACTGCCCAGCACTGTCCTGGATAATACAAGTTCATATAAAGTCCATAATTTTATTAATAGAAAATGATATGCACAAATCCTGTTATTCCAAATGGAGCTTCCCAAACACACTTGTCTAGATAAAACAATAAAACAAGTTCATTAACTAGAGAAAGATAGATTTTAAGTGAGTATAAGTAATGAAGCATAACAATCAGAATTGGTTAGAAGAAAATAAAAGTAAATCTCAACTAATGCCAAATTTAACAAGCTAGAGTGAATTCAAAACAAAGGTCTCTCTCACCACATGTTTTAGCATTCTTACTGGCTGAATCTTTCAGTCAGGATCCCTCCACCAATCCAAAGCTGTTTCCTTTGTTCTTCAGGTGGTGTGGGTGCCGGGGATAGAGAAAAAGGAGGAATAATTTGGGGCATCTCCTCTCTCTACCTCTTTCTCTTCTTTGAGAATCATCTCTTGCTGTGGTTCAGGAGACAGGCAGCCTATGTGGATGGGGAAACCCCAGCTGTTCCTTTGTCAAGATGTAGATTTTCACCCACATCCTCTTTCCTGCCAAAGAATGGCCACTTAACCAGGTGGTGGTCCATTTGGTTTTGCTGACACCTGGCTGAGGCATTGGATAGCCTTTTGTCTCTGGGAAACTGGTTTGTGGCTGCTTCCCCCCAGACTTGGAACATGTTGAGTAATAGCATACAGAGGAATCCTGTAACTTTACATGCAGTATTGCCACACACACTTTACCTGGACAATAATGATCAGGAAGTTATGAGTTTCCAAATGATACCTCACAAGGCATACTTTGCACCAAATTTATTATAGTTCTGTAAAAGAGGGGAACATTGGAATACAGCTGTCACACACCAACTTTAAGGAGCAGTGGGATTGGGACAGTCCAGAATTTGGAGGAGAATCCTGGGATATTGCTTCCCTAGGAGGTCTTTTTCTCATCCAGAACCACTGGATTGGCCTACCCCATTTATAGTGAATTCCTTTCAAGATTTCCTATTTTGTTTGTCAGGATAGATCCTTTGGGGCAGATTCTTTCCTACTTCTAATCCAAGTGGATTCCCTGACACTATTCTTCTGCTATCTCTATTTGTGGTAGTCTTGTGTGGAACCTGGCAGTTAGGGATGGACTCGCTTACTATGATTTTTCTATCTCTTTGCAAAAGTAGGATTCATTCTCTTCCTCCCCCTCTCTCTGCCCCACAACAGCAGAGAGTGAAGCCTTTCATCCTGAAACTCTTGATGTAAGCGCAGTTTAGTGAGTTGCATTGTAGTGTAAGGTTGGAAAAGCTTCCAATATGTAACATATTTTCATATGCTCATAACTTGCTGATGTTCTATGTTTGTGGAAATTCACCTCTGGACATAGAGCAGTTTTGGCAGGGGAAAAACTTTAAAATAGTCATAAGTGATTGAAAAATCACTTCCACACATGCTCTAAGACTTGAGTGGAAGGATTTGGGCAGAGTTTTTCCCCAGCTGAAAGACACTCTGGATGAGTGATTGTAACGTAAACTCTTGCACACAACAGTTCTCCAAAAATATTCTTTAAAGTTATGGGTAGGAAAAAAGAGGATATGTGGGGGGAAATATGAAGATTTCTCTTTTAATGCAAGTGTAGGGCCTGTAACTTGTGATGTACACTTTACAAATTCTAAATTTTGTTTTTAAATAAAAAAATCTTTCCTTTGCTATGATACAGCTATCATAATGTAAACAAATGTGCTACTGCCCTACTAATGTAGCCTAATAGAATATGGTTTCTAGCTGTATAATAGTGGCAAAAGTGAAGGCTTGCCTCCTTCCCTAATTCATAAGGTTTGAACTTTCAAAGCCTGATCAAGGTCCTTTAAATTATTATCATCTTAAACCTGAAGGGTTCCGATTAAATAAATAGAGGATAAAACTGGAAAAATGTGAGGGGCAGGGGAGAAGGGGAAGGGATCTGCCTGCACTTCCAAGGTCTGCAGGTGCCTACAGGGAGGGTGACTCTACATATACAAATTTTAAGGTACAACTTTATTCAGCCTTACAGACTCTAGGTAACTTTCTTTCTGGTTCCTTGGACGGTTGTGTAAGATAGGTTTTACTATTCCAAAAGAGCTTCATTTGTTGTCAGAAGCTTGTTGTTTTATGGCTGTTTTTATATGCATTGTCGCATCATGTTAAGGGAAAAGATGGATTTTTGTGCTGAACTGCTCCATGAAAACCATTAATTTGGTTTTTAGACTCCAGTATTTTCATAATAGTGAATCAAAAGTGTACGAACACTTGCAGCTAGAGCCTTTGAATCTCTACTTGTACAGGTGCTGGATTTTGCATATGTGCTTATAAAAATGTTTTGTGCATGCAAACTCTGGAACCTAAAACATGCATGTGCACTAGTGCTAGCTTGGATGAGCCCCCAATGAAAGTCTGATTCTAAATGTGCAAAGAATCAATATCTAGTGAACTTCAGTCTCTTAATTTGGTCTATCATCAGTTGTTTTATGATGACAGGTTGCAAACTAATTTGATTTTGCTCTTTCCGAACTCTTACACTAATACACACAACAGCCACTTGAAGTTTACATAATCATTTAAGTAGCTGTTAGTACAAATTAACTTATCTTAAAAGTTTATGCATGTCAGACCCTTAATAGTTGTAAAACTATAAATGATCCAGTAGCTTATTCTCCAAAGCTCGCAATATTAATTAGAACTTGTGGCATCAGATGCATGGTATACATGACAATTTTTAGGATACACTAAGGTGGTGGCTGGAAAAATAAAGTGTGGAATGAGAATGAACCTGATGATTGATAATCTGTATTTTCCATAAGTAACTGAGCCTGAAGAGAAGCTCTGTAAGCTCAAAAGCTTGTCTGACTCACCAACAGAAGTTGGTCCAATAAAAGATATTACCTCACCCACCTTGTCTCTCTAATATCCTGGTATCACTACAGTTACAACAATACTTTGTCACGTGTTTGGTATTTCATTCTCTTCCAAACATACCTTCTCCTTCTTCTAAATTGCATCAAGTCCAAGGATGTTGCATGAGGCTCCTCCTTCCTTATTTATATATACTACATCGGGGTGGGCAAACTATGGCCCATGGGCCAGATCCGGCCCCTCGGGGCTTTGGATCCGGCCCGGGGGATTGCCCCCTATGGCGCCGTAGGCCCTGCGCCGCTCTCAGAAGCGTCCGGCACCATGTCCTTGCGGCCCCCAGGTGGGGGGGCAGAGGGCTCTTTGCGTTGCTCTTGGCTCCAGGCAAGGCCCCCCGCAGCTCCCATTGGCCGGGAACAGGGAACCATGGCCAATGGGAGTTTTGGGGGAGGTACCTGGAGGCGCGGCAAGGGTAGCACAAGCGGAGCCCTCCGTCCCCTTCCCTCCCCCAAGGGCCGCAGCGCTTCCTGGAGC